GTCTTCTTACGATTCGACTTCATAAATAATGTAATATCTGTTAGAGATAAATAAATATTGGTGATCAACTCATACTTGTATTGATTAGCAAGTTATAAGCTAGAGGAGTTGATCTACAGCAGAAACATCTCAAAAGCGGGAACTTTCACGCAGGAAAAGGCCCATTTCGACCGTAATGGGCCGTAGGCCATTACGCTCGTGTCCAAGAGTTGAACGCTCAACACTGAAGAAGCGGTCCACCGCCAACGAGGCAGTACCGAGCTTCTCGTGCTTCAAGACGGCGTTGCTTCTCGAGCCGCTGCACAAGCGAGTCCGTCTCGGCTTCTTCACCATTGTTGTCCGGGGCACGGTCCACTTGGAGAAAAGGACGAAGAGCCCGTTTCTCCGACGCGGTGAGGCGGGGTCCATTTCCTTTGAGCACAAGGACGCACCCCGACTCAAAGTCTGGGCTGTGAACGATGTTTGCTCAAGGCCTCTAGATTGAAAGAAACCACCAAGGACATCCACTCGAGCATGATTTGCAAGCTTACTCGTATTTGTAGACACCCATGGCTAGTCGAAGAGATCAAGAAAGTTTGCGTCGCGATGAAGCAAGTTCAGCTGGAAGGCTGGCATCTCGCCAACTTGCACGTGCTGCAATGTTTGAAAGAGAGAGACGACGTTCCCGAGTTGGAGCAGATGTTCTTTTATCGATGCTGTGTTGCCACGCTTGGCAACATCGAGAAGCGAGATCGCCTCAAGAAGATGACAAACTACGAGACCTTCCACAAGACTTGTCAATTGTACTGGGCAGGACGAGAACGTATGTCGTCATATGAACCTGAATTCATCGTAAACGCAACGCCTATGATCAACGAGATGGCGAAGCTGATGTAAGTCAACGCTCTCAAAATGATCGCTCTCCACTTCCGGAGACGGTTGCACCAGTACATTCGTTTCAAGTACGCGGAAGAAGGTAAGCTGGAACTCTCACACAAACAAACGAAACGACTCGGGGATAGGTGTTATCGTGTGAAGTCGGTACCCGAAAAAGACGAAGACGGTAATCTCACTGGCAAGACGGTGGAGGCATGGACGGAGTGGGACGAGACCAGTGACCCAGTGGAAACGGAGTTGCGGGTGTGGTTGGAGACTGTCCCTTGGCAGTGGCAAATCCGAGCGAACAGCGCACACTTCATTCGCAAGTTGTTCGACATGTTGTCTTACATGGCGAAGTTTGTGAACAAGCACCCGAATACGAAGGGCGCAAGAGTGTACTCTCTGTCACCAGTGGCTACGACGTTTCAATCCGAGTTCGTCAAACTGAAAGCGTCTACGCTGTACGGTCTCCTCGCTCGTCGTATTCATGATCCTAAAGCTTAGAATTTTTTGGAGAGTGAGTTTAATCACTTAACGTCCCACGTGAAGTCTTTCCAGAAGAATAAAGGTGAAGTGCTCCGGAAGATCTTCGACGTGGAGCAGTTCGAAACGCGGACTCGCAAATTCGTGGACGAGATCAAAACCAACGGCTACGGGGCGTCGGTCACTTTGATACGCTCAGTGACTACAACTTCGGTGGCCGTGGTAGAAAAGCAGGTGTCAACGAAAAAGCGTAAGAAGAACGACGGGACCGCTGGTACCGAGAAGAAACCAAGAAAAAAAAGACAGTGAAGATGCCGGAAGAGATCGCTGAAGCAGACACGGTCGCCAAGAAGTTGTTCAAGCTTGGGCCCGACTATTCGTCAAAGTTTCTCATCGGTATCGACCCCGGCATGCGTTCTTTCGTAACAGCAGTCTCGATCGGCCATTTTCCGCGTAGATATCGACAAAAAACTTGTCATGGAAAGCATCATCATCGAAAGCGCTGAGGCAAACGAAAA